GTGTTGGGCATGCATTTCTTGATGCTGCTGAGTAGAGCTTCCATGGTCCTCCCAGTCCCAACAACATCCTCAACAAATGAGAACATTGGAGAGATCATTACCTCCAATTATCTGCATCTCACCCATGGATTGGTCATTCCTATAACTTTTTAGTTTGACGAAATCAACCTACATAGAGACAAATCTATCTGAATTTTGGCTGATGTTCTTAAGGTGCTCCACAAAGTCAGCACAGAATTTGTAACCTCCTTTAAGCACATACAGACCATAATGTCACAGTATCCTATGTCTCTCATAATATCCTTAGCCAGCCACTCAGTTCTGTCCACAATGATACCATGATGTATGAGGACATATTCCAAATCTCCATAATAATGCTGTGGGTATGTGAATAAATTCAAGACATAACCTGGCCAACCACTCATAATCACAACTCCTCGCCTGTAGTCTGGCACCTCCTCACTGCTCCTGGCCGTGCTTCTCCTGGGGAAAACGGGAAGGAACTCCTCTGAACATTTTTGTGTATCCTTCCAGTCATTTGTTCTATGCTTACCTTGTGTGTGGATCCCACTGTTTGTAGTTTTATGAGGACAGTTACTAGCACATATAGTGCGTTTGAGGGAATTAGTCAAAGGTGCGTCTTTCTCTAGGTGGGCACTGCCCCACGTCAGGGGACATGGCTTATATGTTGGGTTTCAGCTCCTACTCGTTCCCTTAGCCAACTGCCCTGTATTAGATCCAGGAAAGGGTGAATAAAGCCAAGGTCCTGTGTAACCTGCCTTTTCTTTTTTCACTTAATTTGTTTAATGTATTTTATTGTGTTTTCGGTGAAGTTTTACACAGCAGTTTAGGTTCCCATTCAACAATTTCTATACAAATTGTTCAGTAACCTTGGTTACATTCTTCACAATGCATGAGCATTCTCAATATTTCCATTCTGGTTGTTCTGTTTCCATTAATCTCGTTTCCCTGCCCTCCTACATTCTCATCTTCATTTTAAAGTAATTGTTGACGGCTCTTTTCACTTAAATTTAACTTACAAACATTTTCCCATGCTGTGATGTATTTCTTCAAGATGTAACTTACCAAGATAAATTATTTATGTAAACAAAAG